AATATCATTTATAAATTCCACAATTCATTTGTTCCAACAAAATCTAACTTTCCTTATTCCAACATGCCAATAACCTCTTACTTAACAACATATACAAGATTACACAAAGTTCCTAACTAGGTTATTCGTCCAGCAAATATACCTTGTTTCCCTCACATTCCTCACTGAGTTTACAAGCATTTCACCCATTCACCCCCCCTGTAGCCAATACTCATAGCAGTCAGAGCAAGAGAAAGCAACAAAGAAGGAGGGGGGAGGAGGGAGGAAGACTTACAAGCACAAAGTTTTTTAACCATGTGATTGCCTAAGCACAGCTCTCCTTAGGACAAAAGATAGAATAGGAGAGTAACGATACAAATTGTATAGATTACAATTAACATATATGGTACCTAACAAGACATACACAGACAAAAGCACAAAATACAGATGTAATTAAATCACAAAGTTCTTAAAATAAATGCCGGCTTATAATAACTCAGGTCACAAACATAGAAACACGCAAACACACATACAACAACTTAACTCTTTGTTCGTTGTTTTTATTATTTCAACAAACAAATGCACCAGAATATTTTCTATCCTGATCTAAATAATCCGCCAGCTTTTTTTTTTTTTCAAACTGAACTTAAAAACAACAAAAGAACCGCCACGATCTAATTTTAATATAAATCGGACAAAAAACAAAACCCGCCAGCTTTTTTTTCCAAACTGAACTTAAAAACAACAAAAGAACCGCCACGATCTAATTTTAATATAAATCGGACAAAAAACAAAACCCGCCAGCTTTTTTTTCCAAACTGAACTTAAAAACAACAAAAGAAACGCCAAGAATTAATATTAAAATATTAAAATATTAATATAATCTGGCCTAAAAACTCCAGGTATATTTGCACCCTGAATTCAATAATCACAAGAAAGTAAAACAGATTCTCAAACAGACACTTTCACACATAAAACTCACACTCAGGACTCAGGCTGTAGATAGACAAGTGACAGGTTCTATATAAAAGGGGACATGTGGGCATACTATATACCTGTCTGACGTTAACCACAGGAAGCCGAGTGAAGGCCCAGAGTGCAGACCAATTCCAAAGAATGGAAAATATAGGTAAGTTACTCATTTACCATATGCAGAGGTGATCAGGCTCTTTTTTTTTTTTTTTTCAATCTCTGGGGGTCTCCTCTCCGGTCCTGGGATTTTACGGCTTCAGCAGAATAACAACAACCCTCTCGTCCCTGTTCGAAGTGCGCCAACTGATTTGGATCAAAGAAAACTTTGATAATTTGTCTATCTACACCTTCCAAATTGATTGATTAATGCGTGCACGCTTTCCCTAGAAGTAATTCACACCGGAGACAAAGTTTCTGATCAGTGAAAAACTCAGGAATGCTTTATTCCCCGGAGTGGGGGCTCCTTCTTAAAGCAAAAATACGTCACAGTTTAAACATACAGTATACATTCACCAATTGGTTAACAGAGAAAGGGGGCTCTTGTTTAAACCTCCCTACAGAATGTAGTGTCATCATTACAGACTTTTGGATACACGATGGGAGGGGGAGTGAGTGGTATCTATCAGTTCTAAACCAATGATCCTCCATTTAGCTATACGTGGCATATAGCTGTTAACTGGCACAAAGGTAGTGGGGGAGGAGTTAGTAAAGGGAGCTGTTAACACAGGAATTTTGTTTACACAAGGTTTGCTTGATTTGAAGGGGGATGCTTATCAGGATGAAGAATTTACATAGTAAACAGCAACTGAACACATTGTAGGGGGCGAAGGGAATATTTACTCTAGCAGCCAGTTTTAACATAGTGAACACAGAATAAATAGACATTAGTAAATAGCCATTTTATTTTAATTCATCTGTCCATAACACTGACCATACACACAGACACACAGACTGCTGAGTCCATACACACACACACACAGACACACAGACTGCTGACCATACACACACACAGACACACAGACTGCTGAGTCCATACACACCTAGACACACAGGCTGCTGAGTCCATACAAACAGAGACACATAGACTGATGAGTCCACACACACACACACACACACACACAGACTTCTGAGTACATACACACAGACTGTTGAGTTCATACACACACACACAGACTGCTGAGTCCATACACACACATACAGACTGCTGAGTCCATACACACACACACACACAGACTGCTGAGTCCTTACACACAAAGACTGCTGAGTCCATACATACACACAGACTGCTGAGTCCATACACACACACACACAGACACACAGACTGCTGACCATACACACACACAGACACACAGACTGCTGAGTCCATACACACCTAGACACACAGGCTGCTGAGTCCATACAAACACAGACACATAGACTGCTGAGTCCACACACACACACACACACAGACTTCTGAGTACATACACACAGACTGCTGAGTTCATACACACACACAGACTGCTGAGTCCATACACACACATACAGACTGCTGAGTCCATACAAACACACACACACACACACACAGAGACTGCGGAGTCCTTACACACAAAGACTGCTGAGTCCATACACACACAGTGCTGAGTCCATACACACACAGTGCTGAGTCCATACACACATACAGACTGCTGAGTCCATACACACACACTGCTGAGTCCTTACACACATACAGACTGCTGAAAGCATACACACATACAGACTGCTGAGTCCATACACACATACAGACTGCTGAGTCCATACACACATACAGACTGCAGAGTCCATACACACACACTGCTGAGTCTTTACACACATACAGACTGCTGAATCAATACACACATACAGACGGCTGAGTTCATACACACATACAGACTGCTGAATCAATACACACATACAGACTGCTGAGTCCATACACACATACAGACTGCTGAGTCCATACACACATACAGACTGCAGAGTCCATACACACACACTGCTGAGTCCATACACACATACAGACTGCTGAGTCCATACACACACACTGCTGAGTCCTTACACACATACAGACTGCTGAAAGCATACACACATACAGACTGCTGAGTCCATACACACATACAGACTGCTGAGTCCATACACACATACAGACTGCAGAGTCCATACACAAACACTGCTGAGTCTTTACACACATACAGACTGCTGAATCAATACACACATACAGACGGCTGAGTCCATACACACATACAGACTGCTGAATCAATACACACATACAGACTGCTGAGTCCATACACACATACAGACTGCTGAGTCCATACACACATACAGACGGCTGAGTCCATACACACACAGTGCTGAGTCCATACACACATAGAGACTGCTGAGTCCATACACACATACAGACTGCGGAGTCCATACACACATAGAGACTGCTGAGTCCATGCACACATAGAGACTGTGGAGTCCGTACACACATACAGACTGCTGAGTCCATACACAAAGACTGCTGAGTCCATACACACATACAGACTGCAGAGTCCATACACACACACTGCTGAGTCTTTACACACATACAGACTGCTGAATCAATACACACATACAGACGGCTGAGTCCATACACACATACAGACTGCTGAATCAATACACACATACAGCCTGCTGAGTCCATACACACATACAGACTGCTGAGTCCATACACACATACAGACGGCTGAGTCCATACACACACAGTGCTGAGTCCATACACACATACAGACTGCTGAGTCCATACACACATACAGACTGCGGAGTCCATACACACATAGAGACTGCTGAGTCCATGCACACATAGAGACTGTGGAGTCCGTACACACATACAGACTGCTGAGTCCATACACACATACAGACTGTGGAGTCCATACACACACACTGCTGAGTCCATACACACATACAGACTGCTGAGTCCATACACACATACATACTGCTGAATCCATACACACAGACTGCTGAGTACACACACACACACACACACTAACTGCTAAGTCCATACACACACAGAGACTGCTGAGTCCATACACAAACATACAGACAGCTGAATCCATACACACACAGTGCTGAGTCCATACACACATACAGACTGATGAGTCCATACACACACAGTGCTGAGTCCATACACACACAGTGCTGAGTCCATAAACACATACAGACTGCTGAGTCCATACACACACGCAGTGCTGAGTATATACACACATACATAGAAACATAGAAACATAGAATGTGACGGCAGATAAGAACCATTCGGCCCATCTAGTCTGCCCAATTTTCTAAAAACTTTCATTAGTCCCTAGCCTTATCTTATAGTTAGGATATCCTTATGCCTATCCCATGCATGCTTAAACTCCTTTACTGTGTTAACCTCTACCACTTCAGCTGGAAGGCTATTCCATGCATCCACTACCCCCTCAGTAAAGTAATACTTCCTGATATTATTTTTAAACCTTTGTCCCTCTAATTTAAGACTATGTCCTCTTGTTGTGGTAGTTTTTCTTCTTTTAAATATAGTCTCCTCCTTACTGTGTTGATTCCCTTTATATATTTAAATGTTTCTATCATATCCCCCCTGTCTCGTCTTTCCTCCAAGCTATACATGTTAAGATCCTTTAACCTTTCCTGGTAAGTTTTATCCCGCAATCCATGAACCAGTTTAGTAGCCCCTCTCTGAACCCTCTCTAAGGTATCAATATCCTTCTGAAGATACGGTCTCCAATACTGTGTACAATACTCCAAGTGAGGTCTCACCAGTGTTCTGTATAATGGCATGAGCACTTCCCTCTTTCTACTGCTAATACCTCTCCCTATACAACCAAGCATTCCGCTAGCATTTCCTGCTGCTCTATTACATTGTCTGCCTACCTTTAAGTCATCAGAAATAATCACCCCTAAATCCCTTTCCTCGTATGTTGAGGTTAGAACTCTATCAAATATTCTGTACTCTGCCCTTGGGTTTTTACGTCCAAGATGCATTATCTTGCACTTATCCACATTAAAATGTCAGTTGCCACAATTCTGACCATTTTTCTAGTTTACCTAAATCATTTGTCATTTGGCTTATCCCTCCTGGAATATCAACCCTGTTACATATCTTAGTATCATCAGCAAAAAGACATACCTTACCATCAAGACCTTCTGCAATATCACTAATAAAAATATTAAAGAGAATGGATCCAAGTACAGATCCTTGAGGTACCCCACTGGTGACAAGTCCAAGTTTCGAATATATTCCATTGACTACAACCCTCTGTTGCCTGTCACTCAGCCACTGCCTTACCCATTCAACAATATTTGAATCCAAACTTAAAGATTGTAGTTTATTGATAAGCCTTCTATGTGCAACAGTGTCAAAAGCCTTACTGAAATCTAGGTAAGCAATGTCTACTGCACCACCCTGATCTACAATTTTAGTTACCCAATCAAAAAAATCAATAAGATTAGTTTGGCATGATCTCCCTGAAGTAAACCCATGTTGTTTCTGATCTTGAAATCCATGTGTTTTAGATGTTCATCAATCCTATCCTTTAACATGGTTTCCATCACTTTCCCCACTACTGAAGTAAGGCTTACTGGCCTATAGTTGCCCGACTCCTCCCTATTACCTTTCTTGTAAATGGCACAACATTCGCTAACTTCCAATCTTCTGGGACTACTCCTGTTAACAATGATTGGTTAAATAAATCTGTTAATGGTTTTGCTAGTACACCACTAAGCTCTTTTTTAATAGCTTTGGGTGTATTCCATCAGGTCCCATTGACTTATTTGTCTTTACTTTTGACAGTTGAAATAGAACCTCTTCTTCTGTAAACTCACGTGTAATAAATGACTCATTTATCCTTTTTCTCAACTGAGGTCCGTTTCCTTCATTTTCTTCTGTAAATACAGAACAAAAATATTCATTGAGGCAGTCAGCTAGACCTTTATCCTCTTTTACATACCTTCCTTCTTTTGTTTTTAATCTAACTAATCCTTGTTTTACTTTTCTTTTCATTATTTATGTATCTAAAAAATGTTTTTATCCTCTTTTTACTGTCTGTGCTATTTTTCTTCTGTGTGTGATTTGGAAGCTCTTATAACTTGCTTGAAATTTCTTTTCTGCCTAATCTTATAGATCATTTTGTCTCCCTCTACTCTGGGTTTTTTTATAATTCCTAAATGCTAACTTTTTGTTTTAACTATTTTGGCTACACTATGAGTACTAGTACAGTGGTTTCTTTTTGAATTTGTTTCTACTGA